AGCGTGGTAATTCTCACGCGTGGTGATTCGATGCGTGGTGATTCGACGCGTGGTGATTCTCGCGCGTGGTGATTCGATGCGTAGTGATTCGACGCGTGGTGATTTGCACGCGTGGAGATTCGACGCGTGGTGATTCGACGCGTGGTAATTCTTACGCGTGGTGATTCTCACGCGTGGCGATTCGACGCGTGGTGTTTCTCATGCGTGGTAATTCGACGCGTGGTAATTCTAACGCGTGGTGATTCTATCGCACAATAATTCCACCGCGTAGAGATTCTAAAGCGTAGTGATTCTAAGCGTAGTAATTCGCAATCCTAGCACACCTTACAGAAATACAATACACAACAATACCAACACAAATCCTAAGCAGCAATATTACGCTAACATTCCCACAACGCGATATAACACAGCCACAATCTACTCCACCATCCCATATCAATTCCAACAAAACATTCACCTTCGATATCATGTTTGGTTCCCCTAGAGGGCAACAACGCCAAAAATCGCCCGAAGCATGAATTTCTCTGGTGTTCGACTCTGGGTCACGGCCGTTTCTGCACCAACACTTGCACACCTACATAGAAACTCGTACAATGATTGGTCTGTGGTGTGCATTCGAAGCGAGACTCCTCGAGAACGACCACCGTCGTCGATTCGAGTCTTCTCTGGTTGGGCACCGATCTTCGTCGTCTCCCCACCTGCTTGGCTCTTCCGGTACTTCCTTCGGGCTCGCTATATATAGGCAGGATTCTTGCCAGATATATATGACAGTGTGTCCCTGGCTATCGAGGTGTGCTGATCGGGAAGATCCAGGAAGAGCAAGGGACCATGGAGCTGAAAATCGCTGTAAGCTGCTGGATAAGTTTGTGATAGGGTCTTCTGAAGCATTCACGAGGCTGACGCATCTGTGATGGAGTTTTGTTTGTGAATCATGGTCGAGGTTTTTGAATTGCGTGGAGAGATTCATGGTTGGGGTTGGAATTGAGGTTGGAACCACGGTTAAGGTGTTTGTGAACTTGACGTTATATTAGGGGAGTAAATGTTATATTGGGGGAAGTTATGATGGGGCTAAGTTCTATTTGTAGATGTGGTGAAATTTTAAGGTTACTTATACAGTACACTAATGGTAGGAGTAAGGAGTATGATAAGATGTATAAATACTGGGGTTAGTAAATAAGTAGCTACCAAGTGGCATAATTATTTAATACAAAACTAAAGGTAACCAGAAAACATTAATGATAAAAAAATATGGAGTACAGTCGTGTAACAAGGTTGTAGTATAAAGATGTAATATAGAGATCTAGTATAGAGATGATGCTTGAAATAACCAAACATTAGAGCAATCTACTAGAACTTATCGTTGTCTATTATCTGAAAAAACACCACAATTAAAAAATCTTTCTTTACAGACGAGGTGCTTGGTCTTCGCCGCATGCTTGACCGCCACATTGGCCACCTTCGGAAAAGAGCAGTAAGTCCATCACGATTAACTGAAATCCATTACAGTAAAAACGATAATAATCTCGACGATTAACTTTCTAGCGTGCATATAAGGATCCACGTGCCGGAGATAGTGCAACACGAGGAGAAGAAAATCATAAAATACGAAGATCATGGAGGTCACGATCACGGTGGAGGAGGAGGACACGGGGGTGGTGATGAAACGATAATAGTCACATCGCCCGGAGGAGGGGGTGGTCATGGAGGCGGTTTCGGAGGAGGACACGGAGGTGGTTTTGGAGGAGGACACGGAGGTGGTTTTGGAGGAGGACACGGGGGTGGTTTCGGAGGTGGTCACGGGGGTGGTTTCGGAGGAGGACACGGAGGAGGATACGGTGGAGGAGGTTTTGGAGGCGGACACGGAGGGGGACACGGAGGAGGCGTAGAGCAGACAATAGTAATTACCGAACCTAGCGGAGGAGGAGGAGGTCATGGAGGTGGTTTCGGAGGGGGACACGGGGGTGGTTTCGGTGGAGGACATGGAGGTGGTTTTGGCGGTGGTCACGGAGGAGGCATCAGCTTTGGAGGTGGTGGCCATGGAGGTGGTGGATATGGAGGTAATTAATATTCACTATTTCATTTGGTTAACATAGTCTTTTAGAGTAAATTTTTAAGATACATCAAAACGCTGCATCCCTATATAAACCAACAAATTTATTTCCATAAATTTAATTATTAATATCAAACTTAAAAATATTTAATATATACCAAACTATAGAGTATCTCCCTGCATAAATTTTTCTCTCAATTCACAATTTTCAATTGTTCATAAATTTTTCATGAACTTTCCATTCATGGAAGGCCTCTGTGGTTCTCGAATCTTTCCTCATGTTCCCTTTAAGTCAATCACGATATCTCGTTGATTTGCAGAGAATACTTTCGTTTAATGTTTTCGCCGTGCTCTTTAGCATTGCCAGCCTGAAGAACTCGTTTCGTGGGTTTTCACTTCCGGCTCATTTCGAAGGCGAGAATGTATTTGGGATTCTCGTACACGTGCATCTATTCATGATTCCCCCATAAATCTTCGCGATCCCCTCGTTTTTGCTGCTTTACCGCTAAACGTGCAAATTGATGCGCAAGGTTGAACGTGACCCTAATCTTTCTGTTACTTTAATTTTTAAATTTTTGTGCTGATAAGATTTACTTTTTAAACCTTACACTTAATAATTGATACTGATAATTACACATAATAATGATGTATAATAATATACACATACAATAATAATACAATAGAATAGTATAGACATATAATAATAATACAATAGAATAATATACACATACAATAACAATACAATAGAATAATATACACGTACAATAATAATACAATAGAACAATATACACATACAATTATAATGCAATAGAACAATATACACATACAATAATAATACAATAATATACAGATACAATAACAATATATAATAATATACACTCATAATAATAATATATAATAATATACACACAAAATAATAATACAACAATTCCAAGTTTGAAATAATTACAAACTTACACATTTAGAAATAGAAAAATTGCAAATCCACAAATTTAGAAATGTGGAAAATTCAATAATGCAAATCACAATGGTTCATTTTAATGCAGATGTTACTCTTGTCAGTCTCTTCAGATGTTAACTAAAACTCAACACGCCATATATTGCATAAAAACGCAACAGAAACTCCCTGCAAATTCTCACAAAATAATAATTTCAGGTGGCCACGGAGATGTAATAATATCCGGTCCCGGAGGCGGCGGTTTCGACGACCACCACGGTGGAGGTGGCGGTGGATTCGACGAGCACCACGGCGGCGGTGGTTTCGGAGGAGGTGGTGGTATAATTGAGCACCACGGTGGCGGAGGTTTCGGAGGAGGAGGCGGTGGTATCATCGAGCACCACGGTGGCGGAGGTTTCGGAGGAGGAGGAGGTGGTTTCGGTGACCATCACGGTGGAGGAGGTTTCGGAGGAGGTGGTGGTATCATCGAACACCACGGCGGCGGTGGTTTCGGAGGAGGTGGATACGGAGGTGGTGGTGGTGGTGGTATTATTGAACACCACGGTGGAGGAGGTTTCGGAGGAGGTGGTGGTGGTTTCGGTGACCACCATGGTGGAGGTGGATACGGAGGCGGTGGTGGCGTCGAACACCATGTCGTCAGTAACAGTATATCTTCTGGCTTTGGTAGCAGGTAAATATATCATTTATTCAAAGCTAGAATCTTGTTTTACTTGTCAAAATTTCAGGTTTTATGTGTCATGTTACTAAATTTTATTATTGTACTTATGTCAAGGTACTTGTCATTTTTTATTGAAATATGAAACAGTTAGTTGATTTATCAGAATTATCAGTTAATATATTTCACTTGATCTATCAGTATTATTAGTTGATACATGTCAGTTGATGTATCAGTATTTACTTATTTATTTTTCCATTTCATTTTCAATTTTAGTTTTGATAGACATAGTGTTAATCCTAAAATGTTATATTATGTTTAACTTTCTATTGCACTTAACCTAACCTAACCACTTCCTATCAGTTTCTATAAATAATAAATAAACTTGTCAGATCTCACTTGTCAACATCTCATCTAAGGAAAAGAATTTCATGTCTTCAATAATGAAGAAAAATAGGAAATCCAATTCTATCAAAGTTTACATAAAAATCCATATATCTGACTCTCAGTAATTTTTACCTCAAAATCTTTTGAAAATTAAAAAATCGTCTTCAATAAATTTTCACCCCATGAAGTTAGAGATACAGTATAAGTATAAACAATTAGTATAAACAATAAACTGTTTGTTTCAGTGGTCACGGCGGAGGAGGATACAGTTCCGGAGGAGGCTACGACTCGTATTCGAGCGGTCATGGCGGCGGCGGTGGCGGTCACGGTGGCGGTGGTTTCTCAGGTTACCACAAGAAAAAGTAAAAACGATCGACAAACCAATGCCGTGTTTTGCCATTGGTTCGATCGATCGGTTTGACCGATTTCCGGCGTCGTGTCGGTCAGCGATCTTTCAGTCAAGTTCGAGGCACGCGATCGTTAACGTCACGTGATTTCCGATCGCGATCACGAACAGCTAGTATACGCCTGCACGCTGTTGTTAAAAAGTCTTGTAATAATTAAGAACCTTTTTAAGCAATTTCACCGATTAGTCACTGAGAGTACAATTAGAACACGATTTTAGTTTTACTGAAATAACTTGTACAAAGAGAGGTGTTTGAGATACAATGTTTATGATAGTTATTTGATGATATGGAGATTAGTACATGTAGATTATGAGATAGAAATTTCATTCAATGAATTGAGAATTTTATTTTCATATAAAAAAAGATTACAATGATTTATTAATCGTGTATGTAGAAATTATTAAGAACAATCATAATTCAATTTTAAATTTGTCAAACAATTATAAATAATATAAGTAGTAAGAAAAAAACTGCTAAAAGATTGAAATAATTTTTGCAAAGATTGTTTTTTGAAAAATGAAATATTCTGACAAGTGCAGAAAAAATTAATTGCAAAATGGCGGTTGACAAAATTTGTTAAATATTCCAAGACTTTTGAGCGATGGTAGCAACGAAACCTCAAACTTTCCTTTAGTTTTCTTCGCTCTCAGATTAAAAATGAAAACATCAGAAAATAGAGGAACCATAACAATTCTCTGCAGGAAAATTTCCGGAAAGCAAGAAATCTTAGTTAAATCTAGCGAATGTTTCAATGTCTTTGAAGCTAAATACGATCCATCTCGATCGATTGTTCATTTCAGTCGCACGTTCTCGTGCGACGTGCTAAGTTAATTAATTGACTACTCGCGTGCGTTTCGCAATTGCGATTCACCTACCTGATTATTTACTTGTTGCAGTTATTCTGTTTTGTATATATTAAGTGTTGTGTAAATATTGTTCTCTTACTGTTACCTTTTAATAAACTGTTTTGTACATGTTTTTTTTAAATCGTCGCATTATTTCATCCCACCAAAAACACATTTGACCTACGAAGAAGGAAAGAAATTAAAGAAAGAACTGTTTCAAAATTTGTAATCTTTGCATCTACATTTATAGTCACCCAAAAAATAAGACTGTACAAAAAAATAATTTTGCAAATAAAGAAATAATTGTCACAGCTAAATTGCTAAATAATAAGAGAAAAGCAATTAAGTACTAACTGCTTTCTACACTATATTCAATTGCTGTAATTAAAGAAAATGCGACAGCAAAAGATTCTCCAGATACCAGAACAATAAACAAGATATTTTCTTGTTAGAGCGTGATTAGTCATCATTTGAAGCAATCAATCGGGGAAATTGATTGATGGTACAAGATTAACTACATCGTTTCAATCGTGGAAAAACATGTTTCTCATAATAGAATTTTTCTGGAACGATAATGGTTTGCCGAGCGGCGAGATTAGTTTGAAATGGAAAGTAAGCGGAAAGTGAGAGCAGATGTTATGGAGCACAGAAGAGGACGATTTCACTCGTACGGCTGTACATGTAGACTTACATATTTCACATCCGGATGTTGTCCTTGATCTACGGCGGTTAATGTCGAGGTTCTCTCCTACTACAAGCGCCGCGAGATCAATGGTCTCGTAAATAAGTCAAGGAAACTGCGACTGGTTTCAATGACATTTAGAGGTTTGGTGTGGTGAGACTTGGGGATTTGGGAATTGGGGGATTTGGGAATTGGGGGATTTGGGAATTGGTGGCTTTGGAAATTGGGGATTTGGGAATTGGGAGATTTGGGAATTGGGAGATTTGGGACTTGGGGGATTTGAGAATTGGGGGGGGTTTGGGAATTAGGGGATTTGGGAATTAGGGGATTTGGGATTTGGGGGATTTGGAAATTGGGGGATTTCGGAATTGGGGGATTTGGGAATTGGGGGATTTGGGAATTGGGGGATTTGGAATTGGGAAATGTGGGAATTGGGAAATGTGGGAATTGGGGGCTTTGGAAATTTGGGGAATGTGGGAATTGGGGAATGTGGGAATTGGGGAATGTGGGAATTGGGGAATGTGGGAATTGGGGAATGTGGGAATTGGGGAATGTGGGAATTGGGGAATGTGGGAATTGGGGAATCTGAGAATTGAGGAATGTAGGAGTCGGGGAATGTGGGAATTGAGGAATCTGAGAATTGGGGAATGTGGGAATTGGGGAATGTGGGAATTGGGAAATGTGGGGATTGGACAATGTAAGAATTGAACAATGTGGAATTGGGGAATGTGGAATTAACAAATGTGGGAATTGGGGAATGTGAAATTTTAGATTTCTAAACCATAGATCTCACAACCCAAATTTTCAGAACTCCACAACCACTGAATTTTCGCAACCTTGAACTTCAGCATTACCCTCTTCACTTAAACCCTCTTCTTATACAATTAATTATTATTCCCCATGATCTCAAGCATTTAACTCGCCTACAATGTAACAAGTGAAAATATAACAGCATCAGCGTAACTAATAAGCAAAAAATTCGAAAGTAGAAAATCATCAAGGTATGAGAGTCGTTATGATGTAAAATTACTAGAAGATCTTGTTGCTTGTCGGAAAAGTATCTTTGCATAATGAAACAGCGAAAGTAAACAAAAATTGAAAGCAATTCCTTAACGCATTGCGAGCATTTCCGGAAACTTTGAACACGAAGGAGTTACTTTACGTGGAATGGAATTTATTTGAAATGAAAATGAAACTTTCTAATTGTGGAATTCTTCGCATCTTCAAAAGCAGTTCATTATAATTAGATCCTTTGAGGATGGTAATAAATAAAATTAATTGTGCGTGATGTAAATTGTTATATTTAAAATTTAATGCGTCAATTCCTGAATTTTTGGCGGGAAAGCTTTGGCGGGAAAATTCAAATTAGTCTTCTGGTGCAACTTCATTGATCGAAGTTCATTCAGAACATAATAGTTTTTAATTAGGTTTATACTTTCTTAAGATATTATTTCATATTTGTCGAGGTTTACCTTTTGTAGTAAGTGCAAGATCTGATTCAACGTAGTGTGCGATAATGTTTACTCCTCGATTATTTATAGTTTGTAAATGAAAACATCAAGCCTCCGGCACGGTGAAATTACGGAGATAATTGATTTAATAAAGTACACATTTAAGTAGAAATAAATAGCGGAGAAGGGAGCCACTCGATTGAAACAAAAAACTGCTACGTTTACTTTCTTTAATACATTGGCGTAGAAGAAACTGTAGCAGAAAATTTGTACTATAACAATATAAAATATGTTTCATACATAAATGTTCTACAAATATATGATATTTTAATGTGTCTACATTCATAAATCTTTAGGCACCTACAGCTGTGTAGATCATCCCTTAGACCTTATATCCCTTCATCCCTCATATTTCTATGTGTACACAAATGTCTCTAAATTTTTCTATCTCTATGTTTTTAACACGGAAAATAATTTTTGCTGGAATAAAAAAATATCATTTAATAGAACAACTTTCTATATTCCTCTCTTCAACTTGCGGGATTTGGGAATTGGGGGATTTGGGAATTGGGGGATTTGGAATTGGGGGGATTTGGGAATTGGGGGATTTGGGAATTGGGGGATTTGGGAATTGGGGGATTTGGAATTGGGGAATGTGGGAATTGAGAAGTGTGGAAATTGGGGAATGTGGGAATTGGGGGATTTGGGAATTGGGGGATTGGGAATTGGGGAATCTGAGAATTGAGGAATGTAGGAGTCGGGGAATGTGGGAATTGAGGAATCTGAGAATTGGGGAATGTGGGAATTGGGGAATGTGGGAATTGGGAAATGTGGAAATGGGAAATGTGGAATTGGGGAATGTGGAATCGGGGAATGTGGGAATTGGGGGATTTGGAATTGGGGAATGTGGGAATTGGGGAGCGTGGGAATTGGGGAATGTGGGAATTGGGGGATTTGGGAATTGGGGGGTTTGGGAATTGGGG